CTCTCTCTCTCTCTCTCTCTCTCTCTCTCTCTCTCTCTCTCTCTGAGAGCTAAGAAGCATCTGTGTGGGATTTACCAGCCTCCTGTGGGATTTACCAGCCTCCTGTGTTATAATGCTCAGCTTCTATGTGCTCTTTGTCAATCATGCAATACTGAAAGAATCATGTGGTATGAAACTTCATATGCCTCCCTGAAAGTATAAGAAATTCAGATATTTCCCTTGTTTGGAGGAACATTTCTGGAAGCTCCTGTGGCCTAGCCCCACAATCCTGTCATGACAGCTAGCTCTCTGACTTTTACATGAAGCTCTTTTCCAGGTGTTAAGGGGAAGTCTCTCTAGCTTCAATGTCTGATTTTATTTATTTTTTTATTAAAGGCTTTCCAAACTAGAGACTTGGTCTTGAAGCAATTTAAATAAAGCTAACTCCTGAAGGATGATTATGTGTCAGGTTCTTTCCTGGACCAATGTTTCCTCTCTTCATAGATTTATCAACATTTAGTGTTTTCATCTTCTTTTCTTGACATAGGCTCTGAGGTTCCTAGTTCCCAAGAGCATGATCAGGGAAAGAAACACATCCTCCAGAAACTGGACCAGCTGAAGGTTGGACTAGGTAAGTGACCAGAAAGTGGATCTCCAAGAGCATGGAAGGGTTTCCAGAGGGGATGAGATGACTGAAGAGACTGGGCCTCCAGTTCCTCAGTTTCTACATTTGTTGAATGAGAACACAGATTAACATTTAAAATGGCACTTACTGGACACACTGAGTCATACACACAGAAGACATTCAATGAACCCAGACTCCTAATGTCTCTTCTGACATATAAATTCCCTGCAATTATCTGTATACTGGAGTTGTGACTAAACCTCCCTGGATTATCTTGGAGGAAACAGAGTCAGGAAGTTAAGAGAAAAATAACTGTCCCTGGAGAGATAGCCCAGTGAATAAATTACTTACTGCACAAACATGAAGACCTGAGTTTGGATCTGTCACACCACAGAGAATTTGGTCATATCTACACATGCCCTAATGCAGCAGAGGAGGGGTACAGGCATACCCCAAGGCTCACTTGCTAGTTTAGCCAAAACTGGGAGCACTAGGTTCAGAGAGAACAAGTCTGAAAAGTAAGAAAAAAAATGAAAGAGTTAGAGATAAACACGTAGAGAGAAAGAGAGACAGAGAGAAACAGAGACAAAGAAATAGAGACAGAAACAGACAGAGACAGAGAGACAAATAGAGACAGAAGCCAGGCATAGCTATCCTGGCTGGCAGTAAGTAACAAGATTCAGTACCCTAATACAACAGTGCATGAAGAAGTCGACAGGAATGTGTGATAGGGCAGTTTTGACAGAAACCTGAAGAGAGGGAATGGTGTGTGTTCGATGAAAAGATATTGAGTGAAACAGATATACATGCAAAAATATTCAGTTTAAACCATGGATTCGAAGCAGAGTGAAGAGGCTACATAGGAGTGTTTGGAAGAAGGAAATGAAAGTAAGAAATGTTTTAATTAAAATATAATCTCAAAAATGAATAAGCCAAAAAGATATTGTCTGCATAGATCAAATAATCAAAATTAAATAAAAATATATTTCTAATTAAAATTTTTAGTTAAAATATTATTACATAATTTCCCACCCACCTTAGGTCAGCCTTCCCATTCTATGCACCCACAACTCTCTCAAATTTACAGCCTGTTAAATTTCATTTTTGTTGTTTCATATACATAAGAGTTTTAAAAAATAGTGAGAGTGATGGATGAAAATCTCCAACATGCATTCTGGCCTCCACTTGCACACACACATACAGAACAGTGCACAAATAAACACATGTGTACATGCATGAACAAAACACATACAAGAAAAAAAAACCAAGGAGTGTATAAGGAAGTGACTATTGAAGAACTGGGCCAAATCTCAGGGACTTGAAAGGCTGAACTGATACAGGTATATTGATAATTTTGTATATCCACCTGACTCACTCCACCAACAGACCACCTATGTCGCCCCTGCCCCTGGGAATGGACGTTCTTCCAAGGAAACTGTTACTTCTTCTCCACATTCCAGAAGAAATGGAAGGAACCTGTTACTGCCTGCAAAGACATGGGACTTTTTATGACTTTTTATGACTTTTTATGACTTTTTATGACTTTTTATGACAAGACTTTTTATGACTAGTGGTCGTAAAAAGTCATGAGGAGCAGGTATGTTGAGCTGGGATTTCTTATTCTATGGACATGACTCTAGGTAGATGAAATACTTATATGGTATTTTTTACTACACTTGAAGAGGTGAGAATTGTACACTCAGATAAATACAAAGTGGGAACACGGATGCATGCTTTAGGGAACATTTAATATGAAGGAGAGTCTTTTGGAGTGCTGACCAGAGTTTAACAAGCACTTCCATTGGTGTTAAATGTCCAGAATTGGGGCCTATAGGATGAGTTGCTGGATAAAAGTGCTTGCTAAGAAGCCCAGGGATCTGGGACTCACCCAATAGGAATAGAACCAATTCTTGTGCTCTGACATCCACACACATCTTCGCATCCACACACACACATGAAGTTTATAATTCTGATGGGAAAATTCCTGAAGAAATCTTCAAAACCTAGGAATCACCAAACTCTTGTAAGTTTGGGAAGCTGTGAGCAAGTTTCCTATCCCATTATTTTAGTGGAACAAACATGTGAGACAAAGGGGAGATAGATACCAAAAATTAAGA